ATTTGAATGATCACAATTATACGTTTCGAATAATCAGCTGTTCTACTGAATATATTTAGTAAATTCATTTTCATGACTTTTGTCAACTGTTTTGACCATTTTTCTCGCGCAATAATGTTCACGTTGACCAATTTCCCGCGTGTTTATTTATTTATTGCTTTAACACCCACTTAACTGGCTGTACTTCACACTGTCGTGTTACGCTTTCGATAGTTATTGTTTGGCCTGGCACGATAATGTTACATTTTCGTTTGTATCTCTTTGACAAATTGCATCTCGGTAATGACATTCATGCTACAAGGATATTGGTGTGATATTAATGTACTCGTTCTCTCTACTTTACGATACATGATATAAGAAAATGTAGTGTGCGCCGCCATTTTGTCCTCTTCGATTCCTCCCCTCGTCCTCCGTAGTTTATCGCAAACGGATTTACCATGACCGGTAAAGAAAAAAAAAAAAAAAAAAAAAGAGAGAGAGAAAAAAACAGGAATATATACGAGCGAATCTATACAGTGGAAACGCTGGGAAGTTTCAGCAAGCAAAGAGAGAGAAAGAGAGAGAGAGAGAGAGAGAGGAGGAAGGGCACGTTTGTAATTTCGCGCAGTTCGAACGAGTTTTATGGCCGCGGCCACGTACGAGGAGCACGAAATTGTCGACGTACTTCACCTCGCCCGCCACGGAGGCTTGTAATTGTCGTTCGAACACCCCTCGGACGTCTCTGTAATTTGACGTTGTTAAACCATCCGACACGACCTCTCGCCATCCAGCCTCGAGCGAAAGGATTAAAGAGGGTTGCAACCGAGACAAAAAAAAAGGAACCCTCGCCTGACAGCTGTTTGAAACACGATTACTTTCTATTCTTTATTTCTGTTTTTATTACTTTGAACGTGACACCGAACACGCGTACACTATTGCTTGAAATCGGCAGAATCTCATTCGTGTACGAAAGCAAACGATTCCTCAGGAATAATGAGTATCTCGACGATGAGGGAAATATTCGCTTCGAATGAATTTCATCGTAAGAAAGAACACGTGCTTGTCAACTCAAATAAATCTCAATCAATAGGAAAACAAACAAACAAATGAAATAATTCCTATATAAGTATATTCACGTTTTATTTTGAACATTATTTTATCCAGCACTCGATAGAATTCACCTAATCGACAATGGCTGTCGGCAAACGAACTTTCGGTCATCAACTTTCGTAATCGTTGTTTCTAACCGGATATTTAATTCTTTAATCATGTAGTTTCTTGAAAAATTTTCTTTGCATTTTGACATCAATATTATCAACTTAAATAGTAAACAAGTTTGTTGATTCTTTTTTTTTTTTTTTTTTTTT